CCCATGTTTGCCGGTGTTTACCCAAGTGTTCTTGCGTGGGCCACCTTTCACAAACTGGGAGAGTTCCCCCTGGCGAATAAGGCGCTCGATGGCCTTCTTCAGTGTGATGCAATCGTCGGTGTTGTGCGACGAGTTCTTGTGGAACCGGCAGTATGTGCCGCCCTGCTGGATGGCAAGGATCTCCTCGGCCGGCCGAGGAGCCTGCTCGATGAGGCCGTGCTTCTCGGCATAATCGAGGATGGTGCCGACCGGGTGGGTGAGGGTTACCCCCGGCCGTTCCAACCTCGGCCGCCAGTGGCGATCTTTCTTACTCTGTCCACCAGAGCCGTGACGGCCCTGGGCACCCTGGCCGGCCGGGGACGGACTCGGGGCCGGCGAAGGATTTGTCTTCTTGGAGGGATGACCCCCCTCTCTCTTGTGATTGTGGAGCTCGTCGGCGTCGGCATACAAGCCTCCGCGCTGGAGCGCCTTGGCGTACGACCTCGGGGGGTCGGTGATGAGGCTTCTAGCGTACGGGGAGCTGCGGAGGGCTCCCTGATACAAGGCGAGGAGGGTGCGCTCATCGGCCCCCTCGACCTCCTCGGTTTCCCTCGTCCACCGATCAATGAAGGACCGGAGGGACTCCTCGTGCTGCTGCTTGACGGAGAGGAGGTGGGTGAAATACTTCTTTGCGCGCTTCCTCCCGGCAAAGTGAGTGAGGAAGCGCTGGGCGAGATCCTGCCATGAGTCGATGCTCCCTTCGGGGAGCGCGTTGAACCACTCGTACGCTGGCCCCTCGAGAGTAGAGAGGAACCAACGGCAGAGGTATTCGTCGGACGCGTCCACCATCAGCATGTTGTTCTGGTAACGGCTGAAGTGTTCCTGGGGGTCTGATCGGCCGTCGTAGGACTTGATGGCGTTCCCCCTGTACTTCTCCGGGATGGGGGCCGAGAGGACCCTGTTGGTGAAAGGGGTCCTGGTCCTGACCTGGATGACGGGGTCACCTCGCCCTTCGGCCAGCTCCCTCTCCAGGGCGCTGACCTTGTTCATGAGCGCGTTGAGGCCGGGGTCGTTGGAGGCGCCGGCCGACTGCTTGGCCTCCATCTGAGCCAGCCTCCTTTCCAGCTGGGCGATGACCTCGTCCCGGGGGTCCCTGGCGGCCGCAGCGGCGCTCGTTGTGAGCCGCGTTGATCTGGTGACGCACGTCATCCTCGTGCAACTTTCCCTTGCCCTTGTCCGGGCGGGGCTGGTCCGCTGTCCGGGACACAGACCCTAGGCTTTCCCTTGGCGAGCCAGGATGAGGATCACCAATCCGTCCCGCCATCCTCTCCGAAACCGGACGACGGCGCGTGTCACCTAGCCTATTGAAGGCAGAGGCTTTTCCACGCGCTGGGGTCTGCCCAGGCCGAAGAGGGGAAGCAGGGTGGGAGTGGGACGACGCCGTGTCCTGGGGCACCACCCCCTCATCGTTGCCTATCTGGACGGCCAACGGTTGGGGCTGAGGGGGCTGAGTGACGTTCCCCCCGGTCCTTGGCAAGAGTGCGCTGAGGACGGTGGGGTTCTGAGCCAAGCTGGCGATGATGACCGACAGCGCGGCCTGGACCTGCGGATCCACGGACTGAGAGGCCGCGGCCATAGGCTGGGCCGGGGCGTGGTCCGTCTTCTCAGCTCGTTTCTTGTCCAAGCCGAGGCGGGCGTCGGGGACTCCGCCGTTGAGTTGGTTGCGGAGGTCCGTCGTGAGGTTGAAGGCCTCCTGGAAGAGGTCCCCTCCGCCGGCCTGGTCGGCCGTGGCGTCCTCATCGTGCTCCCTGGGCTCTTGGTCCTCAGGGATGACTTTGCTGACGAGGTTGCGGTTTGACTTAGTTCTCCCCATGATCAGTGGTTAGCTGTGCTTGGTAGCGACGAAGGGTGCTAACTTGATTGTTCTAGCTCTCAACGAGAGCACCAAATGATAGAGTATATCTAGAGAGAAGTGAGAGCTAGAGAGAGAAGTGCAATAATATGCTTCAATAGAATGATTTTGTCACCCCTATAACTACTCCCAAGGGGAGTATTTATAGAGAAAATACGGGCTGGGCTCCCAAGCCTTGGGCTTGGGAGGCCCATTTACAACTGGACCGCTACTGGGCCGAATACAAAGCCACTAATGGGCTGTACAAATGAGTAAGTGTAAAATCCGGTTCTGGGAGGTCTTCGTGGCCGACGAGGGCGTGGCCGACGAGGGCACGGCCGATGAGGGCACGGCCGACAAGGGCACCCGGGTTCCTTGTGCTCAGGACCATAATCTGAGTTGGCCCCTTTTCGGCCGACGGGGGCGTCTTGGCCGACGAGGGCGCCACCCTGTGTCTTGTGCTTTCTATTCTTCCGAGTATGTGGGTCCGGGGGCTCAGACCCATATACTCCATCAGTGTACTATGCTCAGAATTTCTTTTGTGTATGTGCATATCTGTACAAATATGTATAACTTGGGATTCTCCTAAGTTGCAACCAAACAAGTTACCAAACTATCAAACCTAAAAAGGAAAAAGGAAGAGTTCAAAAAAAGAATGAGTCCAACTAGCCCTATACATCTCATCAAAGCTGCCATCTACCCAAGCTGGAGTCAGCTGCAAGTCCGGCGAGTCATTTTTGAACGATGGCGGGCAAAGAGCTTCTGGCGAAGAGGGGAGTGCGAGCGAAGTAAGAGCTTCTGGTGAAGAGGGGAGTGCGAGCGAAGTGCGAACGATCGAAGTGCGAACATCAATCTGCGATGGAAGCTTGCGCTGGATCTGTGAACTAAAAGGCCGGTTGTACCGTGCGCACGGTACAGCCGGTTGTACGATGAATTTTACCTATATACTCCGTGAGAAATAGAGTCGTGTTTGGTTGATCAACCGGTTCTTATTTTAATCTTCTCTAAACTTTCTTCTCAATTTAAAAATAGGCATAGCTTTGTTTTGTCAAAATAGATCACACTTTCGAGCTGTAAATGAGCATTTAGCTTTGGAATTTTCACCTCTAGATTGAATGATTTATGGCTTTCGGCACATTCCTTTTCAAGATTAAAAAATGATTGTTTTACACATGGGTGAACGAACCTGTATTAGAAACGGAAACAATTGGGTAAATTCATGCATTATTGTTCATAGCCATCATTGCATTTAAATGGGCTCAAAACTTTATTTTATTTGGTTTGATTATTCAATGTAAATTATATTATATGGCAATTTATAAAAATATTTCGCACTGTAAGATCAAATAAAGCATTTTACGTTAATTTTGCATGCTTTTTAAAACTCATTGCAATGACTTTGCATGCAATTTAAAAATTAAATAATTGCACATCCAAGTAAACAATGTAATATATTTTACATGCAAAGTGATTATTTTCCTAAACTTTGTATTCAATCATTTCTTGTTCAATTTTTTATTGTTCAAATATTTAACATGTAAACTATCACTCGAGCAAGTTTGAATGGAGGAAATAGGATTAAGTATTTAGTCATTCCAGAAAGAGAAGAGTCTAACTTGCTCAGTGCCCTTGAATTGAAACTTTATTTTGCAAATTAAACTTGTAGATTTTACATCAAGAGGTCCAAGAGGAAGAGGATGAGCATATGTAGATAGGGATGGACTCAGGCCGGGTCAACCGGCCCATAACCGGTATTGTTTCGGCTCGGTCCGGTCCGGTAAATCTCTGTCAAATCCCTGTCAAAATCCCTGTAAATCTCGTGGTTTTTTGTAGTGTGAATTACAAAGAGAGCTAATTAATCATGGGTTACACGCGTTAAATTCACACTCACAAAAATAAAAAATCCTTAATCCATAAAAATATGAGACCTAATTTTTGTAATGGCTGAACCCCAAGTCTCAGGGAGCACAGTGACTTATACATAAAGGTCATCCTGAACATACTCCAGTTACGTGTAATTAGATACACAATTTGTTAACTTCTACGCCAAATTAATTGGGTTCATATTTAGTAATCAAATTTGGTCACTGAGAGAAAGAAAAACTGTTGAGGAATACAAATTGGTTTGATTTTTTTGGGTTCGAAAAAATAGTGCGAGAGTCAACTTGCCGTTAGTAGGGAAGTTGACTTCTGCTTCAAGGTCATGGAGGGTGTAAGGATGTTTTTACTTGGAGTGTAATTCATCCCAGATCAGACCAGACCAGATCAGACCAGATCAGATCAGACCAGACCAGTTCAGACCAGACCAGACCAGATTTGGATAATTATAAAAATACAAAGAAATCAGACCAGACCAGTACAGACCAGACCAGACCAGATCAGACCAGACCAGACCAGACCAGACCAGCAAATTACAGTCCGAGTAAAAACATCCTAAGTGTGTAGAATATTACTCCGTATGATTTATTATTGTTAGCATTAGTTCCTTGTATTCAATTGTAATTAGTTGATTAATACTCCATATCATTATCTATATCTATATGAAATAATAAAAGGAGCTTTTGGCATAACCTTATAAGTAGAAATTTTGCAACACTATTTACTCCATAACGTTTATAGAAATTGTGTGCACACAACGTTTATAAGCACTTAAAAGCGTAAAAATATTTATTCAACTTCCTAAACTCCATATTCAAACCATGATAAATGACTATGATCTTCATTTGTATAATATTATGAAGGTTATAAATTTAAATACTTGTGTGAGAGTACTCTTAAGTCTTAACAAAGAATATCTTTATATCATTTTTGTTTTATAAATAATTTCCTATAAAAGTATATACTATAAAAGTATATAGAGGTTAAAGTTGAACATGCATGATTAATCAAAAATTAAAAGATGGTAAAGTTTTGAATGAAGTTTTAGAGATTTATCTTAAAATATTACTAATAAACAATTCATGAACAAAAATGTCACTTAGTAACTTCTAGTAATTATAATTTCATTCCAACTTCCAAGTTTACATCGATTTAAATTTTGAACATAATAATAGTCACAAAAAATTGTTCAATTTTTTTATTATATCAATGCAATTTTCTCATTATAAAACCATATATATCCCATCCGGTTATAATTCACCTAGAACTCTCCATTCATGGCTCCAGAAATCAATGTCCTTCCGGCAGGAGGCGGTGGCGCCACAGTGGCGGTTGTCATGGTCCCATTTCCCGCTCAAGGCCATCTCAACCAACTCCTTCAACTATCACGCCTTATTTCATCTCACCACATTCCCGTCCACTTCGTAGGAACCGCCACCCACAACCGCCAGGCTCGGTTGCGAGTCCACGGCTGGAACCCCCTCTCCACCGACAACATCCACTTCCACGAATTCCCGGATGATGGAACCGTCGAATATCCCACTCCGACAAAACCCACCTCTTCGGCGCGGGGAATCCCAACATTCCCCGCGCACTTCCTCGAATCCTTTACTCGAGTATCCTTCCTTCGCATTCCGGTGAGAAAACTCCTCCGCACACTCGCTGTGAAAAACACCCGAGTGATCGTGATCCACGACTCGCTAATGGGATCGGTGGTCCAAGACGCGGCGTCGATACCGAATGCCGAATCTTACATATTCCACAGCGTCTCCGCTTTTGCAATTTTCCATTTCATTTGGCAGAAGACAGGGAAGCCTTTCGCCGTCGATGATAACATCATCAGAGATCTTCCTCCGATCGAGGGATGTTTCAGCCCCGAGTTCGAAGCCTTCATCAGCGCTCAGTACGAGTTCTTGAAGTTCAACTCGGGGCGGATTTACAACACGTGCCGGGTTCTAGAAAGTCCGTTTCTTGATCTTCTTTCCTGGGAAGAGATTCCGGGAAAGCACTGGGCACTCGGCCCGTTTAACCCTGTCCACGTCACCACTGCAGAAGGGCCCCGCAAATGCCTGACGTGGCTAGACCACCAGCCGCAAAACTCGGTCATTTTCGTTTCGTTCGGGACGACGACCTCTTTCTCGGACGACCAAATCCAAGAAATCGCGGCGGGTTTGGAGCAGAGCGGGCAGAAGTTCATCTGGGTGTTGAGAGATTCTGATAAAGCTGACATTTTTACGAAAGAAAATGCCAAAATTGAGCTACCCAAAGGGTATGAAGAGAGGGTGAGGGAGATGGGATTGGTGATTCGGGACTGGGCCCCACAGCTAGAAGTCTTGGCCCACCCTTCCACCGGAGGGTTCCTGAGCCACTGCGGGTGGAACTCGTGCATGGAGAGCATATCAATGGGAGTTCCGATGGCGGCGTGGCCGATGCACTCCGACCAGCCGAGGAACACAATCTTGATTACGAGGTTTCTGAAGATTGGGATTGTGGTTAAGGATTGGGATCGCCGCGACCAGATTGTGTTGTCGTCGACTGTGGGAGAGGCGGTGAAGAAGCTGATGGCGTCGGAGGAAGGAAGGAGGATGAGAGTGAGGGCGGCGGAGTACGGTTGCGCGTTGAAGAAGGCAGCGGGGGAAGGCGGCATAAGTCGTATGGAGTTGGACGAATTTGTTGATCACGTCACTAGAATTTGATATGTCGGTCGCCTTGTGGTTCACTGAAACCAATTTAGGGAAAAAATGAATAAATGACACTCCCTCCTTCCATGTCTATAAAATTTGCTAAAATGCCTTTTTGTGAATTATAACAACTTTAATCATTACTCGTAATATTTTTTAGTGAATTACCTATTTAGGAATGAAAGGAAGTCACAAATAAAAAAATAGTAACACATTATTTTAAATTCCTTAGTATAATCAATTATGTGGGTTGAAACAAATATATTCTTATAGCATTTTGAACTAAAATAAATACGTAGTATTTGATAAAATTAATAAGAATAGAAAAGTACATGGTCGTCTCTGTCACTCCAACACCACTAACTTTGGTCACCAAAATTAAAATGCCAACATGCATGAGTAATGACATATTGATGAAAATTTTGACATTCACTACTAAAAAACTTCGGTATCGACAGAGATTTTGGTTCGGATAAATCCCCGGCCAAATTTGGCTCGACATTTGGCTCGGTTAACTAATATATATAAAGCGTATACATTTTGGCACGGATAAATCCGTTTCTACAGTTTGTCTCGGAAAATCCGAGTCAAAACACGATCCAAAACCGAAAAACCCCCAGAAATTTTGACTTCTCGAAAATTTGATCCAAATGTCGTTCCAAATTGGCACGGATACGAATCCGATCCAACATCGTTTTGTATTTTCAGTGTTTGACTCAAATATATCCGAGGCAACAACATCCCAACCTAAATCCGTGCCAACCGGAACGGCCTTTTCCGTGCCAACATGAACATGTTACATTGATGAGGATCGGTACTGCCAATATCCGTGACAAAAGTTTTGACCCAACATCCGTGCCAAACTTTTTAATACAATTTTGTTTTTTGGCTTTTGGCTCAAATGGGTTGTCTGTGCCAAAAGATGGCCGTTAGGATCAATCCGTGTCAAATTCCAAACCAAAAGTGATCGTTGTGTATTCCGGGGATAATTTTCAAACGGTACGATCAAACGGATATTTTCGTGCCACAATTCGTACCAAAAAAAGAACGTTTTGTATCCAGTTATATTTTCCGTGCCAAAATTCGAGCCAAAAAACACTATAACTCATTGCACATTTATAAGCAAAAAATGCATCTTCTTTTATGTATACATCTACACATGAGCTATTCTTAGCGATTAGTTTTGGATTTCTACACATGAGCTATTCTCATTATGTGTTAGTTACGTGGAATATTTACATTTGGATTTCTTAGAAGAATTATTTTCCGATTATAAGGTATGTAATTTTATTCGTTTTATTAATGAATTTCAATAGATCAATACATATTTCATGTCTTGAATTATAATTATTGTCATTATTTGTCTTATACCAATAAAATTTTTGTGATAAGTTTTAAAAATTTACTTACTAGCATGTACTTTTAATAAGAATAAATAAATATTTATTTTACATATTCAGGATCAATGAATAGAGAAAGTAGAAGTTGGATGTATAGGCGATATAAAGAAAATGGTAGAGGATTGACTAAAGAGTAAACTCATGGAGTTGCTGAATTTATTAGTTTTGCACAAAGGCAAACACGATACACGGATGGAAATAAAATAAGATGTCCGTGTACAAAGTGTAAAAATGCCAAGTTTCTTGATCCTGATACCGTGGAGTGGGATTTATATATGCACGGTTTTATTGATAACTATTACAATTTGACTTCTCAAGGAGAACCGATTGATACATGTATTTTGCCACAGACCTTAGACACATCTAACTATGTTCCTAACGAGATGGCTGGTTCGGGAAGTTTTGAAGAAATGCCATGAGAGCAGAAAATGCTTTATGATTTCATCGGCCCTTCGGCATTTCACAATACCCAACCAGATAATGATTTCACTTCACACAGTAATGTGAATGAGGAACCAAGTTCATCTTATTATGAGGTAGATGCGCTAGGCACTAGATTTCAAGAAGTCCTCAAAAGTGCGGATCAACCTCTGTATTATGATTGTGATGGTCATTCGCAGTTATCAGCGGTTTCTAAATTTTTGAATATAAAGGCTGAATATAATCTCTCTTAGAATTGAATGTCAAGGATACTAGGCTCTGTTGGCAGCATGTTACCGCGTGATCACTCTCTACCTGATACTTACTACAACATGAAAAAATTCATCTCAGAGTTAGGTTTTCCCATGATTAAAATTCACGTTTGCCCAATGGGATGCATGTTATTTTGGAAGAATGATGAGGCATTGACCCATTGTAAGTTATGTAATGCGGATAGGTACAAACCTATATCAGCCATGACTCTGAAACCACGCAAAAGGTCTGCGTCATCTAAGTTGATATATCTTCCTTTAGCCCCATGGTTGCAAAGGTTGTATGCCTCAAATGCCACGGCTAAACACATGACGTGGCATGTGGAACATGAGACTGAAGATGAGTTATTGTGTCACCCATCAGATTCAGAGGCGTGGAAGTATTTCGACCGGTGTTATCCACAATTCGCTTTTGAGCCACGCAATCTTCGACTTGGGTTATGTGCTGATGGCTTTGCCCCGTATGGTCAATTCGGAGGACAATTCTCATGTTGGACAATTATCATTACACCATATAATCTCCCCCATGACATGTGTATGAAACAACATTTTATGTTTTTGTCAATAATGTGTCCAGGACTGGGTAATCCAAAGAAGAGAATTGATGTATACCTGCAGCCATTGGTGGAAGAGCTCAAATAGTTATGGGATGTAGGTGTTTCGAAATATGATGTCCAGGAATCAAATATTTAATTTGAAAGCTGCAGTTATGTGGACTAGTGATTTTCCAGCATATGGAATGCTTTCCGGCTGGAGCACCGCCAGTCTGATGGGGTGTCCTGTTTGTATGGAGAAGTCAAATGCATTTTGGCTCAAGAATAGCCGCAAGCCATGTTACTTTGATTGCCATCGAAGATTCCTTCCTCAGAACCATCCTTATCGAAAGGATAAGAAGTCATTTCTAAAGGGGCGCACTGAGCTTGATCCACCACCTATGAGGTTGACAGGATATCAAATTCATGATCGCGTGCGTTCCATCCCTACTGCCATAGATGATCCTCTTCAGTATCCAGAGGGATATATGATTCATCATAAATGGACAAAAAAAGTATATTTTGGAGTTTGCCGTATTGAAAAGATCTTCTTATTAGGCATAACTTGGATGTCATGCATATTGAAAAGAATGTTTTTGATAATATTTTTAACACAGTGATGAACTTTAAGGTAAAAACCAAGGACGACCTATCATCAAGAAAAGATGTGGCATTGTATTGTGATAGACCGGAAATCGCTATGAGTCTAGATTACGAAGGTCCTTTCAAGAAAGTTGTTTACCAGGTGACCTGATATGCACTAATTAGTAGTATATAGGTGTATATTTTTATGTTTGATTTGTGTGTATTGTTTACCATTTTTATTAGTTTGTAAACATTTGTTTTATTTGGTTTGTAACTGTTTTTAGCTTCCATTTATAAGTTGTAAAGTAGTGGTAGAGTTTTTGGCAAGGAAAAGGAGGAAAAGTCAAGAGGAATGCTGCCCAGGGATACTTACCCGGTTGGGTAGGAATACTCATCCAGTCGGGTACGATTTCACAAGCGAAAGTACCTAGAAAATCACTAGACCCGGTCAGGTCCCTATTCCCCCCGGTCGGGTCAGACTTAACCCAGAACTCCAGAACGTGCCGAAGATCACCACAACGTGGAAGATTATCTGATTTTGACCGGACCCGGTCGGGTGAGCACTTGACCCGGTCGGGCACCCGGCCCAAGGTGTTGAAAAACACCTATAAATAGCACACTTTTCCTTCACAAATAATCATTCCTTCTTCCATACTCTTAAACTCAGTTTAGAATAGTATTTCATTATATTTTTCTAGCTATGTTTAGCCTCCAAATGAGGAGCTAAACTTCCAATTCTTGGTGTTGCTCTTGAAGCTTGTTGATTATTAAAGTTGTGAGTTATTTTCTTAACTTTTTCCCTTGAATATTAATTATTAGTTCTTTCCTTAATACTATCTCTATATTAATGTTGGGGAGTTTTGCTAAGATGACAATTAGTTAACATCTTGATATTAGTTAGAGTAGTATTTTCTTCCTCTATATTAATGTTGGGGAGTGTTGCTAAGATGACAATTAGTTAACATCTTGATATTAATTATAGTATGATTCATCTCCTTTGATAATATTCGTCCTTGAATATTAATTGATTTCTATTCATATTTCATATTGATATTGTGAACATTACTTAAAGGATCAACTAGTTTTGTTTCATTTATTAATTATTACTAGAAATGATCGACGAACCGATGGTTAATCGTTGATGGTTTCACAAGTAAGTAACTTCGGTTTATTAATGCACGGTCGTGGTTGATAAACTTAAGAGAGATTAGTTTTGTTGGTTAAACCGAAACCGTTGTGTTGAGGTTACCAATCTCAATTGATTTCATCAAGGAGTTAGGAGATTAAATGCTACTATCAAGTCGGTATATGGCGGTGTTCTATATTTGACTAATAGTAAGGGTTATTAATGAACAGTCGTTGTTAATAACTACCCTCGATGAATTGGATATACTCCTCGATTGAGTATTCGAGCGGCAATAAGTTATAGATATAACAATGATCGACTAAAATATATCAACAAGTGGAGAGTAGCAATGCCAAGTTCTTTTATCTTTGAATTAAAACACATATAAGTTGTTCATCTTAGTTTTTAAATTAAATCATTCAATCCCAAAACCCCCCTTTTATTTACTAGTTTCATAAAAAGAGAATTATTCCTTTCCCTGTGCATACGAACTCTACTTCACCTATACTACGTATTAGTGTTAGTATTGAATTTATTTTGACGCACCGTGACAAAGTGCACGTCAAATTTGGCATCGTTGCCGGGGAAATGCAATTATTTTTCTTTTTATTTTATCTCATTAAAATAATATATATATATATATATATATATATATATATATATATATATATATATATATATATATATATATATATATATATATATATATATCTTACTCTTCTATTTTATGAGCTTACATGAGTTATGAGTATATGGATACCAACACTTCATCCTTAGAGAGTCAAATTTCCTTCTTGACTTCTCTAATAGAGGAATTTATCTTAAGCTCAAAAGCTCAAGATGTCAAGACATG